AACACACATGATGTAAACAACAGGTCACATGTTTATATATTACTACTGACAAGACACTGTAGGACACATATGATGTAAACAACAGGTCACATGTTTATTTATAACTACTGACAAGACAGTGTAGGACACATATGATGTAAACAACAGGTCACATGTTTATTTATAACTACTGACAAGACACTGTAGGACACATATGATGTAAACAACAGGTCACATGTTTATTTATAACTACTGACAAGACACTGTGGAACACACATGATGTAAACAACAGGTCACATGTTTATATATTACTACTGACAAGACACTGTAGAACACATATGATGTAAACAACAGGTTTATGGTTTATTACCAAGTGAATTCTTTGGGAGTGTTTTGACCTTTACAATATTTTGAGTGTGAAATCCATTCTAATACGTACCATCTTTATCCATAATACATTTAGGAACAGAGTTCTTGTCTCCTCTAGTTATTCCAAGTTCCTTAGCATACGCATCTCCGTACCATACTAACAACTCAGATCCCTGCAGTACGGGCTTGTACGTCCGATAAAATATTTGTCCATGGTACTGGAAAGCTACCAGATTTTGTTGTTCTTCATTACAGGCACAGTTGACGTATCGAAGCCAGTTGGACTTCGATGTATCTTTGGCGTTCACGAAATGGCTCGGTCGACCATTTTTGTAGATCTTAAAGATGGCAAAAAAATAAAGAAAGAAAAGCAGATGACTCTAAGGATACAAAATCAGCTGTATATTTTAAAAGCTTTCAGGTTTTGTTATTGTACGAATCTTATCATATAGTAATATCCTGTTACAATGTTTAGTGTGAAAGTTTAACAACAACAACTATTCATGTAAGTCATGTAAAGAGTTTTATAACCTTAAACAACTTGTTTTTACTTTCTAAAGCACACTCCGGAAATGACGTTAAACAACTTGGTTTTACTTTCTAAAGTACACTCTGGAAACGACGTTAAACAACTTGGTTTTACTTTCTAAAGTACACTCTGGAAACGACGTTAAACAACTTGGTTTTCTTTACTAAAGTACACTCCGGAAATGACATTAAACAACTTGGTTTTTACTTTCTAAAGTACACTCTGGAAACGACGTTAAACAACTTGGTTTTACTTTCTAAAGTACACTCCGGAAACGACGTTAAACAAACTCCAATTTCAGTTACAAAGGTGGAAGTTCTTTTCCTAGCTCAGATTCACACTAACTTTAGTGACAGTTATATAGTTTGTGATTAATAGAAACATCTTACCAACCATTATGTAAGAACCACTCACGTACTTGCCAAGCGTAACCACTCCGATGTGCCTCTATAGAGTCGTATGTAACGATTCCTTCGTATGGACCAAACCGGACTCCTTTAGGAAAAGGAACCTCAGCCCAAACGCCGGATCCGGCATTCTTTATACCAGACGTCCCAATAGACAGGTTATTTGGGATACTGTGGTCAGCTCTCATGGGATCGGACCCATCAGCCGGTATCTTAGTCACGAGAACAAAGATATTTATTCAAATCAAAAATAAAGAAATCTCTTGAAATTTGAAAATATTTGTTGGTAGTTTTAATAGAATGTTTGTGAAATTTTAAAAATTATCAACAAAAAATTAAGGTTGTAAACAATACAGAAAATATCAGACAGATCTTTTCATAAGTTCACCGTGGTTAATAGAGAAACTCAATATATACTAAAGTAACTTTAAATGTTAAATCCCTCTACGTCTTTCAGTTATGTATTACATTTTGTTAATATACTTAAAACATTGTCTTGGTGAAATTTACATATTAATCGTTGTTGCCTGCAGGATCATCTAATCTGTATAATAATATGCTACTTCGTGTGTCTCTTACGGAAATGCGCATGCGTATTTAGATAGTATGGTGCGTGCGCATTACCACGACAGACAAAAACTGAGTATTATTATAATAAACCAGTAGAGACCAGCAAGACATTTGTGGTCAAATTAGTGTCTTTATTGCAACAGTGCTTGTTTAAATACAAGATTTATATAATAATATATAAGATAAATATTTCTTTACTGAACTTAAGCCTCACTTTAGTTAAGGTTTTATAAAGTACGACATTTCGTTTCTATTATTCTACACATCTTGTATTTAAAGAAATACTGTTGTAATAAAGATATTAATTAGACAATAAACGTTTTGTGGGTCTCTACTAATTATTAATATTTCTATGGTTAGTTTAACGTTACTGTATACACTACTCCCCACACAGCCATGTTTCTTCAATTAACTCAGCTAAATTGAAGACCATCCGTCTAGGATGTCAGGGGTCTCAGGTTATATACTGCTCGTGCACAATGTGAGGATATCCCACGAGGGAGGAGAAGAACGTGGTAATTTGGGTTGTTAAAAACGTGCCTTACTAACTGGGAACAATAAAACAAAGTCTACTTCTTGTGGTGAGAAGAAAGAATAGAACAATCTCTACATCTTATGGTGAGAATAAACAATAGAACAATCTTTACATCTTATGGTGAGAAGAAACAATAAATAAAACAATCTCTACATCTTATGGTGAGAAGAAACAATAAAACAATCTCTACATCTTATGGTGAGAAGAAACAATAAATAAAACAATCTCTACATCTTATGGTGAGAAGAAACAATAAATAAAACAATCTCTACATCTTATGGTGAGAAGAAACAATAAATAAAACAATCTCTACATCTTATGGTGAGAAGAAACAATAAATAAACAATCTCTACATCTT